AGTGGGTGCCCTGGCAGACAAAATGGGATAAACACCTCAATGCTATGTCAATATCACAACAGTTTTTAAATATTGGGTTAGAGCAAAAGTTTGTAACATTTTTCATTTGGTGGCATTTGAAAATGTAACTGAAATTTATGACATATATACATATTCTGGAAGGTGACATTTCTGGAAGCATCATTTTATACAATTTGTGAGTGGATTATAAATTTTAAATGTTTTTATGTTAAAATTGAAAATGGAGGGAAATGAGATGCATTTTTTGTCATTTTATGCTTTTTTATTTCCTGAAAGGAAAACCCACCATACAAAGAGCCAAAAAAAGATATATGCCATTAATGAAGATGGTTCCATAGCCAAGAGGACTGTTCAGAAGTGGAAATTTTTATCTGGAAAACTGAGAATGTTCCACTAGGTCTGCAGTCATTGATGATGGCCAAACCGAAATGCTGATTAAAAAATAATCTAGGACATCATAGAAATGCTACTCATATCTAATCTTATAGAAATAATCTTATAAAAAGAATTATGGAAAAATTATAAAAGAATTATAATAAAATATATAAAAGAATTATAGAAATAATCTTATAAAAATAATCCAGGACATTCTAGAAATGCTCCTCATATCGCATATGAGTATTATAAGGCATTTGAAAATACTTGGTTATGTGAATCAATGATTTGGGGGTGTAATCCTCCATTAGGACAACAACAGACCACACATCTCTTTGTAGACCTGGCAGAAATTGTTAAAACTTGGCTGGTATGTCCTACTAGTATAGTAGAATATACCAGCCAAGTGTTAACATTGTACTCACTTGACCTTGCAACTTTAGATCACCAATTATTTCAATCCCTACAAAATTCTATTAATGGGTTGAACTTCAATTCTTTGGAAGCCTGTAAAAACCACTTAGACCAGTTCATCACACAGAAAGATACCAATTTCTGAGGGGATGGAATCATGAAGATGGCTCAAAGATGCTAAAAGCTAATGGAACAAAATAGCAGATATGTGAATGAATAAATCTATATATAAATATCTAAATATTGTCTTTGAAGTTCATTTAAAAAAAGTTGTTTTGTTCCAACCCAATGTGGATTCACTAATATGGCTCAGTAGTTCTTTCTGTTCCATATTAGAAGACAGTACTAGAAATTTTTATTTTTAACTACATTAAAAATGATCATTCTCGATTGTACTATTGTGATACTATGGACACCCACTTTAAGCAAAGAAGATCAGGGAAGTAAAGCAGTGAATAAGGGTTGTTTGGAGATTAAAAAGCAAATCTATATCCAAAGAATGATTTGGAGTGCATAGTGCATGATGAGCCCTTGCAGCAAAATCAATGTTAAATTTAGACAAGTAGTGTTCCCAATTATATCAATTAAAAACAGTAATCGATGAAAGGCATTTGGATTTAGCCAATTAGAAAGGTGTTGTCTTCTATAAGAACAATGCCAGACTTTATATCTTTTTGCAGAAACTGGTTTTGCCTAACTACATCCACCACATTTAGTAACCTTGCACCTTAAGAATGTTCTTTTAATGGGAACAACTTCACATATCTGGAAGCCTGTAAAGGCCACTTAGACCAGATCATCACCAAAGAACTCATTCAGAGTACAGAATCATGAAGTTGTCTCAAACATGTCCAAAGGTAATGGAACAAAATGACACATATGTGGTTAAATAAATCTATATACAGATATCTAAATATTGTCTTTGAAATTCATTTAAAAAAAAAAATGTTATAGATTTTGTTTCAACCCAGTATATATCAGATCACCTAGAATAGATTCAATAGATCTTCAATTTTTTAATGGAAAATAGTAAAAAAACCAAAAACACATTGAAAGCTTATGGAGCAGATTCCAGGAAGTGCATAATATAATTATTATCTTCCCTGAATAAGACTGCCTCCTTAATAAAATATACAAGCTTATTAGTAAGTGTAAGGATGATACTTGCTGTGTCAATTAGCACTAAGATGAAAGGGAAAAAAATATGGGAATATTTTCAATTTTGTATATGTCAACTGTGATTATTACTGTCTATGCCTTAAGAGTGGAAAAGAAGTTGTTACCTATAAATTAATTAATGGATAATTATCATTTGTCTGGGTATCTAAAGATTGATTTATATTGTGAAACTGACAGTAATGCTAAAAAGCTTGTAGAGACCAGGATTTTAAACATTTTTAAGGTTTTTAAAGGCAGTTTTAATCATTGGTATAATTCTGAGTTAGTAGTAGCTAATGTAAGCTGTATCCATTATTATTTAAATTGCAAATATTAAATGTGTGTAGGTAAGTCAAGCAGAATCGGCCTGGTGCCACAATTGTATTTTGTATTTTTTATACAATAAATATACAGAATGAGAATTCAATGCTAAGGAAACATTTGGCATTCATTAACTGAGCAGCCATTACTACTCTCTCTTATAAAATCTTTCTCTTAAGAGAATTTTTCAGGAAAATAAGTTTCTCAAGTCCAGTGGCTGTTATTACTCTTTCCAGTATTTATGGGGTTTCCTTCCTAATCTTTTAATTGAAGCAGTGCGAAATGTCAACATCTTGATTGTCATTATTTTCTCTTCAAATTACATCTGCTATCTATTTTACTTGTTACTGTTGTTCAGATTCCTCAAGTGATGTGGTTTCTGTTATTTGGTAGATACAATTTTTTGTTTGTTATTTTGTAGTGCCAGTTCACAATGTTCAAAGAATTGCGGTCTTCACCAAGGCCCATAGGTTTCATTCACTCAAAGCCATTTTTAACCATTGATCATCAAAAGTGGTTGTATACAGTTGATAGTTTACATATTTCTAAACAGGTTTGGCACTATGGATGACATCCATATGAAAGTCTTGATCTGACAAGGCTATTTAAGAACATAACTTGAATTTTTAGATAATAAATATATAAAACAACTTTAATATCTTCTATTTTAACATGGTTCCTTGTTTCACCAGCAAAACATGTCAAAGTTTTCAAAATTGTCTTATATATTTACTCTCTCTCTCTCTCTCTCTCTATATATATATATATATATATATATATATATATATTTTATATATCAAGAACATAAATGTATGACAAAGTTGAAAAGGTGATTGTTTCATCCTTCAGGACTAAATTTGTTATGTTGATAGAATTACACATGCACACAGCATTCTAGGCATTTTAGAATTTTTTTTTTATTGGCCGAATTTATTTAGAATTTTTTTTTCCATCACTTTTCTAAGTAGATATTCCACACTGTAATATTAGAAGATCTAAGATATATATACTGATAGAAACAGAATTGGTTTTAGAGATTAATATTCTTTGCCAACTCTATTATTTGTAAAATCTCTGGACACTTTTTTTTTTTTTTTTTTTACCTCTATTGAACTGTAAATATGGTTTGTTTTTAAGAAAATTTACAAGGAATGATGAATTTCTTCTTAACATTTTGATACTGGGGTTGGGAAAAGTTAATGAAGACCATTGGATGTTAGTTATTCTTTTGACCAACATGCTGAGTATCACGTAATTATTTGCACTTAAACTAATCAGTTACTTCCAAGGGTAACATTTCTCTCCCTTCCTTTGTCTATCTCTCTTTGTTTTTGTTTTGTTTAGTTTAGTTTTTTGGTTTTGTTTTGTTTTTTAGGCATACACTTGTGGAGGAAACAGATTGGCTTTACCTTCCTCCTCTCCCAGTACTCACACAAATACAAAAGAGAAAAAAAATCACTAATTGTGAAGGAATGTGACCAACTGGTGTTCACAGAAATTAATTTTATCTTTCCTTCAAGGTTAGGTTTAAGAAGAGGGAAGGAGTGTTTGTTTTTTTTTTCTATCTCCCCCTGATTTGGTCTTTCTGTCAATAATTTGGGTTGTTTTTTTTTTAAAAAAAAGTCTGTAGAAATGTAATTGCAAGTAAAGAAATAAGGAAGGGTGAAAAAAAAGTAAATTTTTTTTCTATGTCCTCTTTTTGAAATGTTTTCTCAAAAATTGGAAATTCTAATGATAGTGATACAGACAAAAAAAGTAAAACTCAAAACAAATTTTTTTTAATTTATTTTTTAAAAAACTTTTTACTGTTTTACTTTTTTTTTTTTAACTTTCCTCTTTGTACAAATTGATTTTAATTTGTTATTTTTACTGCAACACTCAGGTCGTTTTTATACTTTACGACCAAGGAATCTTAGCAATTCGGATAACAAAATTAATAACTTTGAAAATCGGCTTGGATTGCTTTTTTTGTCGACAGTTAAAGTACGTCACGTGATAATAATATGTCCAGTACAATTGTTTGTCGGAAGTAGCGTAGCTTGTTTCATTAGTTTTACTTTTACTCTTATTTAATAAGACTATTATAGTGACTATATGAAAATCCAACTTTCACTAACAATGGTCGAGCCGCAAGTGAAACATCACTCTGAGTCTCCTGTAATGGAAAATAAAATTAACTCTCTCTTTCTAAAAAATCTTCTGTAGAGCGAGATATGTTAGTGTAACAATAACAGTGACTGTGTCGGTCAATCAATATAGATATATGCGCATTTTTTTTTCTCAGACTAAAACTTTTTATCTTCAACCACAATAAATAAATAAATGCAACTCGAGTTTAGTAATCGTCTCTCTCTATATTCTATAAATTTCAGTTTTATTTTTTAACATTATAATTTTTTTAGTTAACAAGACGAACAAAATAAAAACTCACATAATAAAAAATATTTTCTCGTAAATAACTATAAAAAATAATTTTGAAATTTATAATGTCTAATGCTTCTAACCATTTAAAATTTTAATGACTTTTTAAAGAAGAAAATATTTTTCTTCTCAAAATAGTGGCAGAAAAAAAAAAAAAAGAGAAATTAACATAAGTCATGCGCAAAAGCAAATTCATTCACTTCCGGTACCGACGCGGGAATGTGTGCGAAGACTTCTTGAGATAAATTCCCAAGTTTGACGAGAAATATTAGAGTTACAGCATCACAAACATGACTAGGTGGGTCTACTTTCAGCCTTAATGCTTTATAAAGCTTCAATATTGTAGTTGAATACATTTCGGAAGCAAATATATCCACTAGCCGGCTTGTAAATCACACCTGAAAAAAAAAACTCACATGTGTTCTCTAGAAAAGCATTCCGTTTATTAATGTATATTGGGCAAATAGAATTTCTTCTAATCTTCAAAAGAAAAGAATGTAAGTCTGATATTTGTATTTTATATTTATTTTTAAATCTGATATCAAAACGGTTACTTATGTTACCCTCTCCTCGTCCTAGGACAAATAAAATATTGTGAATTGTGCTTTTCATCAGACTTGGAAGTTTGAAAATTTCAGTGACTTAGTTTTATTAAGCACGTGTTTATCATACAGTGATCGTAGAAGTCTTTTTCTTTCTGGTTCTTCTCATCAAAACTAATTAAAAAGAAATAGGAGACAGTAAACGTTTCGGGTTGAACTCAAATAATTGGGAGAGGAGAAAGCTTATGAAACCAAGAATTTAGTCCTCGATTGTTTTTTGCTACAAAAAAGAACCCTAGAAGAGATATCCATCTTCTTACCGAAATATCTCTCTGCTTTAGCTTTATCATTGTAAAATCTTTTGGTATTTACAAATTTAAAAAAAAAAAAAAAGTTATTTAAAATTATCCCGAACTATTGATTTTTCTAGTAACTTGTTTGACTTTTTCTTCAACATCTTATAATCTTGCCTCTTACTTTTTGGACTTTATTTTCAACAAAAGGTTTTTTTCTTCTCTCTCTCTCTCTTTTTTCTCTCTCTCTCTCTATATATATATATATATATATATATATATATATATATATATATATATATAAAGTTTCTAACTTCGATGATGGTGACTAGTATTTATAATTTGCACAAAGTGGCAAACTTTGTCACTATGTACTCTTCATTTAAATTGTGACTTTTTTTTTTAATTACCCCGCATCCTCAACAAAATAAAGCAAGTTTTTGTTCTTGGGTTTAAATGTACACAATTTACATTAATTATTATTTTGTGTAAAGTATGCACCAAAAATCATAGTTTTTTAACAACGAAAAATCTTTTATTTAACTGGGCAGACACCTAATCTAAAATATTTTTTGTGTTGGAAATTATTGCTTTAAACAAAAACATGTTGAAATATATTTTTATACTTTGGAAGTTTTCAGTTATTAGTATTTTAGAGGAAAACTGGGCTTGCTTGTCTTCTGAAAAGTATGGTGGTGTAATCGTTAAAAAAAAACAAAAAAAACACCTTTTTAAAAATTGTGTGATCTCAAATTTTTGCAGGAATCAATTCGGGTACTTTTTAAATGCAAGAATTCCTATTTCTAATTTTCTATGAGTTATGACAAAAAAAATTTGAAAGATTTTAATAATTGTAGATGAGTTTGAAAATCTTGCACTTTAACTTACAGGATTGAAGTACCCAATGAGGATCAAACTCACTAACTTGACATTGTAAGAGTTCTGAACCAGCCATGTTAGAACTCTTAACAACGAGCACGTGCAAATTTGTCTTCGTTAAAAATTGTTTTGATGTAACATCAATTACACGTGCAACAAGCAACGCAAGAAGTCCTTTTTTTATGTATCTTTTCACTTCAGTGTTTTCATGAACAATATTTGAAATGTTGATCATTTTAGAGACAAAAAAAAAAAAAACAACGAAAGTCTCCACCCATACCCACCGAAATTTTTTTTTTTTTTAAATGAACGGCGTAGCCTTAGCGCAGAGGCTCTCAATGATTGTTTTCATTTATATTATTATTAATCAAAACTCCTGGAGTTGTTTTTTTTTCTCTCTCTCAAAACTTAGGGAAAATTTCCTGGGAATAATTTGTCTGTTAATATTTATTAACAATAACAAAAAATTGTTAATAAATAAATAAGCTCTACTTTGTATTTTTGAGCATTTTTAAAATATAATGTCTGGACATTGGTACTAAGCTAACTTACACTTGGAGATATATATATATATATATATATATATATATACCTTTTTAAGCAGCGACGTTTATAAAAATCGAAAAATATTTTCTATCGTTCTAGAAATGGAGCTCCTGTTCATAATATCGATTCCTGATTTCTTAAATTGCTAAGTTCCGGTAACTCTTCTTTGTTTACAAATGTAAAGTTTGAAATTGTCAAATTAGATTTTATAAAGTTAAAAAAATAAAAATAATGCTTAAAAATACAATACTACTACCATACTTCTAATGTAGTAGTCTTCGTACAATAAAGTTAAATTTGAAAATGACTTTATTTTAGCCATAAATTAATATTGCTACATAAATACAAAATCAAAGTTACATCGCAATGTGATGCTATGATTAGATTTGGTTTACCTCATGGTTGAAAGTTTGATATTTTCCAGTTTTTTTTGGGGGGGGGGGTAAAAGGTTAGGATTTTGAATACCGGTTCTCTAGGCAGGCAGATTCATCATTTGTAATATTGATCTTCTCTTCTCAACATCTAGCTTTGTGCTGTCTGAGTGAGCTTAATAAACATAACATTTTTTTCTTGCGAAGATTTAATCAACAAAAATTGATTAAAGTTTAAACGATTCATTAGTTTAATCATTAAACTAATGAATTGCTTTTAAAAAAATTTTTTTTTTTTTTACAGCTTGAATAAATATTCTGCCCCTTTAGCAATTATTTATAAAATAATTGTAACAAAAATTTCTTTTTTAATGCTATTTTTTCTATTATCTTTTAATGAGCTGATTTTTAGCTTTGTTTTTATTGTTTCAGGGGACGTATTGAACTTGGGGATATTACTTCCCATAACATCAAACAGCTGAAGCGTCTGAATCAATTTGTTTTTCCAGTCACATACAATGATAAATTTTATAAAGATGTCTTAGAAGTTGGTGAACTAGCAAAACTAGGTATGTACCGTCATTAAATATAAAATCAACTGTTAACTTTTTATTATAATTTTATTTTTTTAGTATTGAGCACAATGTACCAATTCTAGATTAGATTCCTCTCCTCCTCCCCCACAAGCAATTTTAAGGTCAAAATCTCTGAATATTTTTTTAATCAGGCATGAACTTTTGCAATGATTATTTATATATAATGTGTGTGTGATGTTTTGAAGAATTTTGAGACACTCTGGTGTCTCATAAAGAGATTAATTTGGTTGTATAATGTATATAAAAATTTCTCTTTTGGACTAGATATGAAATTATTTCCATTATTTTTGTTCCCCAGTAAACTTATTTTTCAAATAACATTCTCCTTAGCACAATTATTGTTTCATATTCATTAAACTTGTATATAAATTCCCAGTGAGCATTTATTTCAACCAGTACACTTATTTTTGTAAGTTGAAGATTTCTCTCCTGCATGACTATTTGAGACAGCACAAGCACTGTATTTAATACAAAAGAGTATAAAGAGAGGTAATAAAATTATGGCAATTAGTGTTTTTTTTTGTTTTTTTTTTTGTTCTTTTTTAATAGTTTGTACAATCCATTCTCTCTTACAAAAAGCTTAACTCTTATTCACTAACAAAATCCTATTAAAATCCAACTACAAAAATGTTATATAGCAACATGTGATACAGTAACACGAAAATTACACTATCCTTGTGAATAATACTCAACAAATTTTAAACAAAGTCACTTATGATTCTTGAGTTCATTACATTCACTTACGAGTAAACACCTTTGGAAAGAAATTAATTCATCTCTTCTTCCAAGTATGGGTAAATAGCAGATCAGACTGGATCCTAGAGCCTTGGTTGGCAACTGGTTTAGGAGAAATAAAGCTTAATTCAGCTGTACTTTGCCCTGATACTGCATATACTATGCAGCTGATGAAAAGCTTGTGGAATTTACAATGACTGTGATCCTAACTGCTTGGTTGTTCACCTTTTTTAAAATCACATTGTGAAAAAAAAAATTTTTCTAAATAGATGTAGTAGTTCTCATCAGTAAGGGAAACTTTTTTTTTTTTTTTCTTGAATGAAAAACTTTTTTATTCCAATGTTTTGTTATCGTGTTTGTGTATGTTTTTAATAAGCTAAAGTAAAGCATGATAAATTTTGTACGTTTGAAACTCAGAAGCAACTTAACTGTTTTGGTTATAGAGAAGTTACCATCTCAAGATGAGTGCAAAGCAATTACCTCAATTAGCTTCTTAGTCCTGAGTATGACAATAAACTACATCCAGCAACAAAGCCTCTAATCAGGAGACTGAAGATTTTGAGTAGTAGAGCCACCTCATAATTGCTACCCTGACCCAACACCTATTAGGGTCTCAGCTATGGGTATATAATGAACCCTCAAACAAAAACAAAACACTCAAAGTATCAATACTAGCAATATATTTTTATATAAAAAATAACAATACATTTTATCTGTAGTTGAAGGCATAATTGTTCAAAATATATTTAAAAATCGTTCAAAATATTTAGATTTCAGCATTAAATAACCCATAGAGGTTAATAATATACTGCTAAACAAAATCAACCAACATGAAAGAACTCTTTCATGACATTAATCCATATAATATCCTACAATTTCTTAAATCATGGTATTCCAAAATATAACTTCAACATAAGATACACATCTCACCACCTATAATAATCATGTCTACATAACCATGTATATGAACAGAGGCTATCATCTACCATGTATTCAATTGTGAAAGTAGAATAACATATTTGTATTACTTCAAAGCTCCCAAGAAAATTACATTAAATGATCAATAAGATATGCCGTTAATCAAATCAATTAGCTTCTATTAAAATTTGACTTTAGTAGAATTTATACTTTTCAATGTAAGCTTTAATTTGGTGTATAGAATAGTTAGCATAAAAATAATGTACTCTACTTGAAGGTTGTGTGAAAATTTTCAGTTATTTCTTAATTGAAAAGAAAAGTATGCATACATACGAGATACTGTTATATACAAGGATATTGAAGATACTTTGTGCTATCAAATTCCTTAGTGTTTTTATATAGAAATTTTCAATATGTGATAAAATATTATTTTTATTTATTTTTTTATTTATTTTTTTTCCCCTTTTAGCATATTTTAATGATATAGTGGTTGGTGCTGTCTGTTGTCGAGTAGATAACTCTGTTAGCCAACGAAGATTATATATTATGACACTTGGATGCCTTTATCCCTACAGGCGACTTGGAATTGGTAAGTATAAAAAAAAGTCTTAAGTTTTCTCTATCTGAAATACAAGAAATATTTCATTTGTCTGATATGTAAACAAAAGTTTGTTAACCAATTACAGATGGCAATTTGCATTTTTTTTTTGATTTTCAAAGGATAAAAGAAATGGGTTAATGCATTATGGATAGAACTAAAATAACATTTTCGATAGAACTAAAATAACATGTTCGAGCTACATAAGGGCTCTGGGATTTATTTTTCATTTATAATGAAACCTATTGATTAAAGGGAGACAAATCCTGGTTGCTACTGTACTACTAGTTTCCATGTTTTCTTTTTTATATGCATTTTAAAGTAGAATTTGTTTAATATGAATGCAGACCCACACAGATTTCAACACCCTGCATTTTCCTTAGCAGAAAATCATTTTGAAGATTAATCTAAAGTAGGGTCCTCCTTTTCACAGGGAAAGATAGAGTAATGAAAAATGCCACAAACTTAACAAAAATAAAGTTTTATCATCAAAATGCTTATATTGTTAATAAGATGAAAGACCAAAGTATTTTTTTAATTATTTCTTAATTTTTTTAATCCTTTCTAACACGTTAGAAATTTTGGTTAGTCTTTTGTTTGCACCATCAGTGACCTGAAAATAACTTTTTTTTTATTCTTCTGTAAATAAGTAATATTAAGGACATTATTGTCTAAAGAAAAAATTTTTTCTGATTAATAATGAAGTTTTAAAGTATTTTTTCTTTTTAATTATAATAGTTTAAAATCATGTAAAATTTTGTATTGGGCTATTTCCTGGATGTGATATAGTAATTAAGTGGGGGGGGGGGATTTACAAATCCAAAATTGAAAAGATTAATCAACTTAGTTCTGCTATTCTATTTTTAAAATAATTTTTTATTTTGTATTTTTTACTTAATACATTCATTATTTTCATGTACGGTAGACTGAAATTGCCATTATTATAACCTAAAAGTTTTGTCTCTTAGGTCGCTTCGGTTACGTTTCAACAGGTTTTCAAAATTTCTATCCAGCTTTAAAAGTTTAAACTAAGTTTTACTTTTTTCAATTACTATTTTGCTAAATATTTTATGTATTTACGTTAGTGTGAGACCTACTTCAATTGAGTAATCATGGTATTTCATTTGTTATAAAATTAATTGAAGAAAATTTTATATTCTAAGTTTTTTTTTTTTTTTTTTTTTTTTTTCTTCAATCTTCGAAAGGTAAATAAAAGTCAATAAAATATTAAATAATTGCAGAAAATATGTTCATTTGTAAAAATTACTAGGTAGTTAAAAAACAAAAATATGAGTTCACTTAGAATTTTGACAATTGGGTCATCCGTAGTAGCTGTCATTGCTTCATCTATCAGCAGTCCATCAAACGTTGGATCAGATGAACCTAACCAAACGTTAATAATTGGTTGTATATTATTTTTTTATGTTATAAGTAAGTAATGTTTATTTCAAATCAGATTAATTTAACTTTAAATTTTCTAATTTTACTAAAATAATGTTTCAGAAATAGATATTTATTTTTTTGAATGAATTTTAAAATACACTTTTTTTTTTTTTTTTTTTTCAAATTTCTTAAAATTAAGAAAATGGCTGCTTTAAGAAAACTTTAAGAAATCGAAATTATATTTGACATTCCAATCTATATAATTTCTCTCTGAAATATTCCAGAATATTTTACTTAATGGAAATAATGAATTTAATTATTAAAATTTCAATTAAAGCTAAAATGAAATATTCGAAAGATTTTTCATTTTTAAAATTTAATTTTAAACCTTAGGTATCAAATTTATGCCAAAAAGGTGGAGGTCCCTAATCTAAAGGAATAACAATCTTGTCTCTCACTAATATACCAGTAAGTGCTCATCTATTCTAGCCTTGTGCCATATTAAGCTTTGCTCAAAAACTAATTATCATATAAACCTATTAGTTATTAGGAGATCCTGAAAAGTTTGCAACTATAAATGACAATGAATAATAAGACTGTTATTGATATTAAATAACCCAACAAAAGTTGGCATACTGTTAAATCAACCAGCTAACCTTCCTACATAAAATGTAATGTTCCAAAAGAAATGTTAAAAGAAAAGCTGTTCACATCATTCTTTCTTTTCTAAATTCTGTTGTGTGGAAATTAACACTAGGCTTAAGAACTTGTGTGTGTGTATCATTTTTTTATAGATCGCACAGATATTACTGATCCATACATGAATAATCCAGTCATTTTTGACACACACTATACTACTGTAATCTTATGTTTGTCATGTAGCCTGATCTTCCCTACTTACTAATGAGAATTGGTCATGCTAACTGGAGGCATTACTCAACATTAGTAGGCAACTATGCCTTGTGTTTCTATAGAAGAATATTTGATTATTAAGGAGGGTTTTTTTTTTTTTTTCCCCTAATTTTAAAATGCAACAGTGAAGTTTAATTGTATAAACAATTTTGATTGCCCATACAGAAAATTACTTAAATATTGCAATTAATGTTTTTGATACTGTGGGTAAAGTTTGTCGCATATGGATATGCTCTCAGTATTCATAATAAATAATTTCAGGCAAGCTACACTCATACTCTATTAAAATTACATAAATTTAATTTTATTTATTTTTTCCTGTAAGGTACTGTGATGCTGGAACATGTATTGAAGATATGTGAAGAAGATGGGAATTTCGACAATGTTTTTTTGTAAGTATTTCCTATATGTCATTTCTAAGTGATTTTATGAATTCTTTTAATCCACCATTATTTCTTATCTGTATGCATTACATTTGAATTGGAATTAAAACTAAAATAAAAAAAAAATTTAAAATACATTTTAAACTTTAGGGTTTTTTTTGTTTTTTTTTTTTTTTGTTTTGTTTTTTTTTGTGTATCAATGGATAAAAAATAATGACCTGTTTGACATCACTATGGGATCATTAGACTCTGCAGAGTCTTCTGACCTTGTTGATATTAAGGACATCGGACTGTATAGAGATGACGGGCTCATGGTGGTGAGGAGTTCTACTAGTTTTAAGATAGAGAAAATCAGAAAAATTATATTTAGTGAATTTAAAAATCTAAACTTAAAGATAACAGTCTCTTCTAATTTGAAAAGGGTAAACTTCCTCGACGTAACTCTAGACTTACCAAGCAACACATACCGACCTTATAGTAAACCAAATGCTAACCCCTTATATATACACCCAGAGTCAAACCACCCTCCATCCATAATTAAACATATACCCTCATCAATAGAAAACAGAATTAGCATTAAGTCCGCTAACAAAGAAATATTCCAACAACACAATGGCTTCTATAACGCTGCCCTAAAAAATAGTGGTTATAAAAATGCAAACATTAACTATAGTGACAATTGCACTAGCCAAAAAAAAAAAAAAACAGGAAAAGAAAAATCATTTGATATACCCCTCTGTTCAACCAAATGGTTAGTATTAAACTAGGACAGATATTCTTAGCTCTAATTGATAAACACTTCCCCACCAATAGTAGGCTTAGTAATATATTTAATAAGAACACCCTAAAATTGAGTTACAGCTGCACTGAAAATCTAGAAGGTATAATAAAAAAAACACAATAATAAAATCTTGAACAAACCCCCATGCCTGAATAGTATTAATAAAAACCCTACACTTAAATCAGACAATAACTGTGAAAAATTATGTGATTGTAGAAACCCAGAAGACTGCCCATTAGAAAATAAATGCTGCATCAAATCTGTGGTATACCAATGTACTATATCATCCACTGAGAGTCCTAATACTAATATGATATACATTGGGTCCACGAAGAATGATTTTAAAGCCAGATGGAGACAGCATAAGTGCTCTTTCAACAATATAAATAAAAGAAATCAGACTTTCTTATCTAAATATTTTTGGCATCTGAAGGAAATAAATAGGACACCTAAAGTGAAATGGAAAATTATAAACAGGACTAGAACATGTAAAACTTGGGATAACCCATGCCCTTTGTGCCTCCATGAGAAACTGCACATAAGTTTCTAAATAATAAAAATCTATTAAACAACAGACATGAGTTAACGGTTTTTTTTGCCGACATCATCAAATTTATGCACTGTATAATTAGCTAAAAACAAGCATACAATATAATAACTTGATTAATCCATAGCCCAATCATCAGATTCATGGTTTGAATAATTAGCTAAAAACAAGCATACAATATAATAACTTTTATAATCCATAGCCCAAATAAATAGTTTAAATACCCTACAAAAAGATAACCCTTTATGAAGTCATCTAAAAACAAATGTTACGGCAGTTTTTATATGCACAAATCCCTTTCATAAAGAAATAAAATAAAAAAAATAAATAAATCTCCATAAACACGTAAACCAGACTAGGCGAAAACATCTTGCGTTTCAATTTTAGACACCCCCACCTTACCATGACTTGACATCTATGAAAGTAACTCTATACTGATACTTATTAACACCCAACACACCCCTAACTTTTTTAAACAATTCGCCCTGGCTGTTACCATGGAAATTTTGATTTCAATTATGAATATACTATTAAAACACGTAAATTTCAGAAATAAGTTATTCCAAAAAAAATTTTGCTTGAAGATGGAACAGAGCTTACTTTTAATTCAATTTAATTCAAATAATTTTCGACTCTTGTTTTGAAACATGAGACCTCTTATGTCACGAGTTGAATCATATTTTTTATAATATATATATATATATATATATATATATATATATATATATATATATATATATTTTATTTATTTATTTAAAAATTATATTTGCTCTACTCTGTATTGAGCACTCTCTTAAGAATAGTAATTGTTGGTTATTGGAATTTATTCCATATACACCAATCCTATACTTGGAGTGATATGATCTCAGAGAAAGAAATTAATCTGTTGGTTTAAACATCGCAAAGCTTTTATTTAAAAATAATTTTTAAAAAATAAAGTAGTGCCTCCTAACAGAAATTGAACTAGTATTCCCAGCTTGATCTGCAAGAAGCTGTTACAGTAGAAACAAGGCTCAAGTTTTGTTTGGGTCAGTTGAAATATAGGTAATTTATCATGCCCCAAGAAAGATAACGTGTTAATTTTATCTATTATCCATCTATCATCCATCTATCCATCCATCCATCTCATCCATCTATCCATCCATCTATCTATCCATATCATCTATATCTCCATCCATCCATCCATCCATCCATCCATCTATCCCCATCATCCATCCATCCCATCTATCTCTATCATCCCCATCCATCTATCATCATATCCATCATCCATCCATCCCCATCCATCTCCCCATCCCCCCATCCATCCATCCATCTATCCATCCATCCCCATCATCCATCTCATCCATCCATCCATCTCCCATCCATCCATCCATCTATCTATCCTCCATCTATCATATCCCCATCCATCTATCCCCCATCCATCTATCCCATCCATCCATCTCTATCTATCATCCCATCATCTCCCCATCTATCCATCTATCCATCTATATCTATCTATCTCTATCCATCTATCTCCATCTATCTATCTCATCCATCTATCATCCATCCATCTCATATCTATCTCCATCTATATCTCATCATCTATCTATCTATCTCATCTATCTATCCTCTATCCATATCTATCCATCTATCTATCCATATCTATCTATCCATCCATCTATCTCCATCTATCTCTATCTATCTATCTCTATCTATCTATCTATCTCTATCTATCTATCTCTATCTATCTATCTCTATCTATCTATCTCTATCTATCTATCTCTATCTATCTATCTATGCTTTTTGATTAAGGTAGTATTTTGGTTCGGTAATATTGGAAATTTGCCAATAATGTCATTAATATCAAATGAATTGTAATGTCAACAAGCATATTGATAAAATATGGCTTTTTCTCCTCCTTGCTGTATCAGTATTTTAAAAACTGTTCATAAATTTCTTTGTTTTCCAGACATGTCCAGGTGAACAACGAAGGCGCTATAAAATTCTATGAAAAGTTTGGCTTTGAAATTGTAGAAGAAAAGAAGAATTATTACAAAAGAATTGAACCTGCTGATGCTTATGTTCTCCAAAAAACATTCACAAAAAGTAAACAAGGTGTACGGCGTATAGAAAGCAAATAGCGTGTTTTTCATCAACCCAAGGACTTTTAATAACCAGATTTGTTTGTATACGTAGGCTGGTATTGTATATATGGAGCAGTGATTAACTTTTGGGACAAAAACAATTCTTGGGAGAAGAAAAAAAAAAAAAATATTCCCTTTCTTTCATTTAGTTCCTTTATTTTAATTTTGCTTCTATCATTCGTCCTTTTCTTTCTTGTTTTTTCAGTTTCCCTGTAAGACTTGTTACATTTTTTAAAAGACCAACACATTTTAAGTTATTTTTTATCTTACAAGGAAAAAATTGTATTCTTAAAATCTTTAAAAAAAAAAAAAAAAAAATTAAAAAACCAAAAAAAACAATCATCAGTCAGCAAAGAATTTTATATGATTCTCTTGCTGACTCATGAAATAAAAGTTGTTACTGCTTGGAAGGAATAAAAAAAAAATACTTTTATTTTTATTTATTTTTTTTAATGCCTTGCTGCAATCACATTTTAAATATTTTGTCGACATTAGCAGTTATGAATAGTGATTTTTTTTTTTTTTTTTTTTCAATTTTATAGAAAACATTAATTTCCTTTTTTACATGTTTTTAAATTAATGCAGAAATTTCAGAATTAGGCTGTATATATTTTTCTGATAAAGATCTATTGTACTCTGAAGGTTACTGGATGACCTATTGACCTGTAATAGATCAGGAAATGCATCAGCCAAAACGATTGGGATATAAACAAGAAACATGAGTATAAACCTGTGGGTATGGGTCATTGCATAAAAACAATACCTTGGGCTTCTTGAGACTTGCCAAATTACTTTCTTGAAAATATAGATACTAGATTCATAAAACTGAAGACAGGTTTAATTTGACAATGTTTGTGTCAGTCAGTTATATGCCATGTGTGATACACGCGTAGGCAATCATGTATCTTTTAATACATGACTGACGAGGCAGATTTTTTTTTCCCCCCACAGTAGGTTGCCATTTCTTTCTGCAGTAGACCAGTTGCCATCCAAGGCTCTAGAACTTGATCTGTCCTGCTATTTACTCATAGAGTATTAGCACATGCGTGAATGTGTGACACTATTTAACTATGGTAATTGATTAGCTAATTAACTATAAAAATTAAATAAGAAAATACTGAGAACTGAAAAGATACCCCAAGATTTTATTTTTACTTTTTAAAAAAAAAGTTGCTTTTCTCAAATCCGAGAATTGGCTAAAGAAAAACTGAAAACAAGATATCATCTTATGTACCGGCAAGGCCGCATTGTTAATTATAAAAAATTTTGGCATGAGGAAATATCTCAAAAGAATTGCTGATTTGAAGATAAAGAGATTTATTTTTCTCAAGGAAGCCAGGGGTTTGTGTGAACGCTAACTCCACGAGGGGGGGGGGGCAGAATGGCGGGCTTTGATGATGTAAGAGTACTGGTTGGGAAAAACACAATAACCAAGCATCAAGGATATGGTTTTAAGAGCCATGTGTTATTCGTAAGAATTTTGGCCGGTGAGAACGAGAATTTTGTAAACAAAAATTCTACTTTATAATTTTAATGAGGCCAGCTTAGCCACACCCACACGGCCAGGACACCATTGGTCAAGTGGTAGCAATGGTGATAGGTGGAGGTAATTTGATGAGAAAGATGGTGAAATTATTAACACCCACCAAAAGGATTTGTTATGAGGTACCAATGTGAGAAGGAAGATAACTATCCTGCAACCTCCCCTTACAGACAAAGGGAACTCATCTCCCAGCAAAATGGGAAGTAATTAATTTACCAGACAAGGTTTCTTGTCGGGAATTACCAGGAAGCACAGGCTGTGTCTAACCCTGCACCAGTTTTTGATTGGTGAACACTCTCGGGTAGTTTGCCAGTAGGAGTTGGTTCGCTATCAGGAACCAGAGAATTGCCTCGCAGAAGCTGACTGAGAGATTCCATGACCTCTGACTTCATCTATCCTACCAATACCAAGTTATACTGACAAACGAAGGTAAGCCAGCACTTAAAAACTAAACCATTGTTAACTTAGGAAACCAGAACTTGCCTAAGAAGCATAAAAGTGTCACCCCAGAGATTAAAAAAACAGGTTGGAAGAAAAACACATGCTCCTGTATATAACAGACGGATAAAAAGTTAATTTGTTTCTTTCAACATACTTGAACCTCTTGGAGTTTTTATTTGCTTCTTTTCTTTATGCTTCTGTGATATCACAAGTTTAGACTCCTCTTACGCTACAGCCCGATGCCTGCTCGTCTCCTAAGATCAAAATCACAATGCAGGTAGGTTAGACTTGAGATCAAAGTAGTTGCTTCAGTAACCAGACATTCAAAGTGTGCTGGGAACAACGGAGCTGGTGTCGAACCAGTTGCATCTGGTGTGAAGCTGTTTGAAATCGGCCGACCATCCCACTCGGTACCCTGACCAAAGGATCCCGCTGGGCAGCAACGACCACGAATCAACCAGGACACAGGTTGGTGGCAGCAACTAAGAGTCAACCCTAAAACGCTGGTAGGAGAAATATCAGTTTCATACCGCAAATTGGAGTTGACCATGGGTCGATGACTTAGTGTCACATCTGACTCTGAACTGACCAGTGTCACAAATGTAATAGATTTGACATTCACTTACATGCTAATACCCTTGGGAAAGGTATGAATGTTTGTGCCTTGTCTATTAGATTCAAAACTGCACACACACATTGTACATATGAAGCCAACTGATTGCATAAGAACATCTCTTGCACTCAAATTTTTTACATATTTCAAATATCACTTTGTCACTGATATCTCAAATGGCTTTTATGACCTACAAGATTCTTGCAGTTCTTTGCACATTGCAGACATCTTTCTGCTGCAACTTGTAATGCTGGCTGTGGAAATGTGTTAGTCTGCTGGCTGATTGACACACTTTACATGTATGGTCATTGGGGATGTCGTTTTGGTAGTTGACATCACAATGACACTGCACATGGCTGAGACAACCTGCTTTTGAAAAGCAAATGTCATATTGATCACACAAGACACTCCTGGAAGAGGGTTGATACCTCATGTATCTGCCTGCATGTTTTTGTTGTGCATATTCTATCCTGTTCTCAAAATTCTTGACACCAGTAGGTATCAGATTTTTCCATGTTTGCCAAAGATCTTCCCAGGTGTCTTGATCTACATGTCTTTTTTTATTGTATCCATCAGATTGTCTTCATAGCACTTGTGAGGCTTACGCTGCAGTTGTTTTCCCTTGGTTACATAACCTGTTTAGCCATACATGAGTCTTCTAGGTGAACAAGGTGACCAGGCCATCTAAGTTGGTGTTTTATAACCATGGACTCGATATTTGCTGATTTTGCCAAATGCAGCACTTTTGTATCAGGCACGTAGGTCACCATGAGTTCATTAGAATATTACGCTGATGAAAGCATTAAATATGCCTACAGTAAGTTGTCAATGTCTCACAACCATATTAACATGGTTGTTAACATGCACACATGCATGATACACCTAAACTTGTTGCTTTTATGTCTGTGACCAAAGCTTGACCCCAGTTTGCCAAATGCATCGCATTACTTCAAGAGTCTATAAGAGATCTCTTCATCAGGTGTGTTTGATCTAGATAATGTACTGTCAAGGTAGACAAATGTATCTACAACTTCTAGTCATTAACCCTTGAAAAATATCAATAGTAAGATGCAGGTTACTCGGATTGTAAGTCCAAATTCGTCACAGGTGGTTGAAAAAAGGGTCCATAAGCAGCTGCAAATCCCTCTCACTGTGGGTAACAAGGTCACAGTTGTTAGCATACAGATCACATATCAGAGCAACAGATATCTCGGTCACTGCAGTGAATCATTGGATTTTGGAAAGCCTTCCTCGTGTGCAATAATGGATGTATATGCCAGCATCACTTTGTGAAAATGCATGCATGATCACTGACAAAAACAATAGCAAATAAAGTAGATACTAGAATGTAAGCTTTGCTTCAATCCAGATTTGACTGGAATAAATTCCAAGAGTTCATCATCGTCACAGACACAAACTTTCATTTTGTCATGAAAAAGGCGAATGAGTCCCATGAACATACATATACACACACATATAATAGACTACTTTAAAAGTAGTGGCATTTAAGCTAGCTCCTGCAGAGGGCTCTTGATTGGGCCTTCATCACAATAGGTAGGGAGGTGTAGATGTGATAGTCAATAATAAACTACAGAAGAACTCAAAATTAATTGCTGCATATAAGTATTGCATTAATATTTAAGCTTACTATTTAAAAGTTCAATAATAATTCTTCTGCCATCAATTAATTTAAAGACAATTTGATGTACTGTGGTTCTTACTTTCTGTACAAACACTTGTTTTCATGGGTGACTTTTGTTAGATTTTACAATTTCAATTATTTACAAATTATAAAAATTATTGTACAAAAAATCAAATTTGGGAATCCAAAATTTCACGATTGCAGGTCTAGATCCAGCCTGGAATGCTTATACTTTGCTCATGGATCCGGCCTGGTTCCAAAATAGTATATGTTGGACTATGGCCTCGAGGAATAACTTGAAAAACCTGGACAATTTTATTTTGAAACACTAATTTGAGAACAGTAAATTTTTTCATTTGAACATGAGCTATTGAAAGTTAGCAAATTGTGTCCCTTTTTTATCAATAGACGTCAAGGTGGTGGAATCT